AGAGAGAGAGAGAGAGAGAGAGAGAGAGAGAGAAACATGACCAGGAAAAAAAAGGAGACTAGGATGACGAGTTAGCCCCACCTTTCCTATCACAAATCTTTCATCGTTATTTCTCCTCCTCTTAGTGTTTGTTACTCTCTTGTTACACATCTAACCTTTGGCTCTTATATGACGTAATAAAAGACCCAACTAGCCTGGTGCATTTGTCTACCGTTCTGACCGCCCAGTCAGAGACAGCAGTTGGAGAAAAAGAGATGAGAATGTCACGCGAAAACGCGTCAGAAAAAGCCACCGATATGTCATCCACAACGTATTCAGCTTGACATATTGCTACCTTTGAATTTCGAAATTCTTTCTGCTAAGTAGATCTACCTTGTTTTGAGAAATTTGACGTAAAAATTTTGAGTCTCTCAACAAGGAAAGCTTTTTCATATGCAATTCTTTGAATACCTTGATAATGACTTCGAATAATCATACGATTTTGAAAGAGCTCATAGAGCAGTTGGTTTCTGACTTCATAGTCTTAGTAAATCAAAACGGCCAAAAATGTAAGATATTATAGAACTTTGTAATTCTGAGGTAGCAATATATTATGTACATAATAATACAGCATTCAAAGAAACTCACATTGGGGACGTTGAGAGCCTCTCCCTCCGAGACGCCCCCGTAGATCTTGCGCAGGTTGCGGGTCCATGGTCCCACTGCTCGGATGTGGAGACTCAGGAGTGGCTCGTGCGGCGCTGACGTCAGAGTGAAGGGGTGGTACTCGGAGTCGCTCAGCCCCAGACACGCGATGCGCACCCATTGGCCAGATCGGTAGGTGAAGGACGAAGGCCGTTTGAATACAAGGCGGAGGACATCTGTAATGACGTGCACACAAGACTTAATATTAAAGGATATGACGTGTTTAGAACAGTATGCAAACGTGTATACATAGAACTTGTTTTTTGTTGTGAAAGTATAGTAACGGTTGACTTCTAGTTTAGAGCAAGTTGTTGCGGAAATGGAAACATTTTACCAGCAAGAAGACAATTACATTTTAGTGTACTCTATAAGTTTGGAGTCCTACTAGACTTTTAGAGAAAAAGGGGTGAGGGGATATTATTCCACTGTCTAGATTCTAGGTCGAGTATTCAATATCATAGGTTAGGAAAATATGAAGCTCAAAAACAGAAACCCAGGCAGACAAAAACTAAGGAGTCCACCAAGTATTGCTTTTAAAAAATGGCACAGAGTAATCAAAGGGTTTGAACAATTTAATTCCATTGTAATTTAATCAGATACACTTTCCACCCCTTTCCCCTACTTTTCAGACCATTTTAAGTGTCCGGGTCGGCAAATCTGTTTTTTTAAAGAAAATATTTTTTAAAAATTTTGGGGGTGGGGGGGGGGGGGGGATAAAGCTTTGACAAATCAATTTGATATCCCAGGGCAAAGTTTAGGCAGGGTATTTCAATACTATCTAGCACAGTAATCACTCTCATTTCACAACTCCACCTTCTTTTAAAAAACACCCCCCCTTCGGCAGCAAGCCCCCCGGGTCCAAAACAAAAATTTATCCAAATTTCACCTGCGCACGCGCGCGCGCACACACACACATACAAACACACACACACACACACACACACACACACACACACACACACACACACACACACACACAAGTGCTGATTGGGGAGAGAGTAGTTAACTTAAATTCTTACTCTATTTTAGGATCTACACAAGGCTGAATACATATTACTTTGTTCTCTATTCCAACGCCCATAAGGCTCGTTTACTTTTTGAGTATATGCGTCGGCACTAATGAATACTGGAATGTTTGTTTGCTTGTGTGTATGTGTGTGTGTGTGTGTGTGTGTGTGTGTGTGTGTGTGTGTGTGTGTGTGTCTGTCTGTCTCTCTGTGTGCGCGCGCGAGCGTGTTTGGGTGTGGGATTGAAAGTGAGTATGAGTATAATTTATTCCTGCCTGTTTGAACACAGCAAGTTTTTTTTAAAGATGGGGAATCGTTTATGCGTGTGCTGACACATGCACTACTGTACACACAAGAATTGCTTAATTTTCTCTTGTTAGGAATGCATGTACCATTATACTAAAACACCAGCCGGTCCTTAGATCTCTTTGCAGAGTCCTTGGTTTATGCCACTCTTTTGAACTTCAAACGAAACAGAGTTTTGACAGCAGATTGATAAAATCACTTGGATTCTCTTGGACAACGTACCTGATGGCAGGGCTGTGGCTGAAGTAACGGCAATCTCAGCCTTATTTCTGCTGATGCTGCAGAGGACAAAAGCAATATACGTGTAAGCATATTATTATGTTCACGCCTCTTAACTAGACATTTACAAGATATGGTAAAAAAAACAACAACATTGTATACTACTGGGAGGTCCGAGCCTCAAAGACAAGTCTTTTCTCAACAAATACTTTGCTTGTAGGGAGGTAACAGCTTTATCCCAGTTTATGGGATAGAATAACCACACTTGTCAAAAGTGAAAAAGTAGCAAAAATCAATTTTTTACCTCTCTCCCTTTTTAAAAATTCAGTATTCTCTGCCCTTCCTCCTTTTATCATGCTCCCTATTTTCATCATCATCATCATCATCATCATCATCATCATCATCATCATCATCATCATCATCATCATCATCATCATCATCATCATCATCATCATCATCATCTTTCTGTCTGTCTGTCTCTCTCTCTCTCTGTCTCTCTCTCTCTCTCCCTCTCTCTCTCTCTCTCTCTCTCTCTCTCTCTCTCCCTCTCTCTCTCTCTCTCTCTCTCTCTCTCTCTCTCTCTCCCCCCTCTCTCTCTCCTCTCTCTCTACTTATTTTCCATCTAACCTGCCTCCTCTCCCCTTATCCATTTGATTTTACCCCAGTATCAACCTTCAGCACTGCCTCTCCCCCCCCCCCCTCGCCCCGATCCTCAGTCAAACTGATCTTCCAGAACAGCTGCCAGAAGCAACTAAACATAAAACAAGGACCCCCCCCCCCCACCAATAATACCAAAAGAAGAAGCAGCTACCCCTAAAACAAACAAACAAACAAATCACAAAAAATATACAAATTCAAAAAACAAAACAAAACAACAACAACCAAAAAAAACCCAACAAAAAAAAAAACAGCCCTCCCGCCTCACAAATTAGTAATCACAAAACTCACCAAAAATGACGTTTACTGCAACAATACCACCAGCAATAAGAACCAACAGCCGCAGTAACGAAAATAAAACTTAACTGCTGCGAGGATTATGACAACAGCCATTAATAAAACAACAACACAAACAAGCAACAAACACAAAAAATAAACTTAAAGAATCAACTACAAAGACATCGCATCAACGATAACAAAAGTTACCTCATAAGTCTGTCGACAATGAACAGAAGGACAGGCCCAACTGCATACCACGGGAAGAGTGGGGACTGCACGAGACGACCAATGCCGTGGAGAAATGTGAGCACGTATACCAACCAGTACATGCTGTGAGTCATCCAAAACGCCTGGAAACAAATGGGTAGAAACAAATGTTGCCAGATTTTTTAGACTTATAAAAGAGACGGTAGAACCCTACATTTCAAAGGCTGTGGGACTGAAAAGTGAAAGCTCCATAGCTTTACTAGGAATTCTTGTTCACAAAAAGCAAGACTGGTCAACAGTAGGATTGTGTGGAATATCAATTTGATCTTTTCGTGTGCACCTGTGCTCACTAAGCAACTGGCCTGCCTAATCAAAGCTCTGTATTTAAATCTGTCCGATCAGTTTTCTCAGTCATTCAACGAAGTCCGGTGTCTAGAAGAAGAACAAAATACTTTATCTCCGGGGGTGGGGGGTCAAGATATCATCATCATCATCATCATCATCATCATCATCATCATCATCATCATCATCTTTAAAGTCGTCAATAGCAGCAGCAGCAGCAGCACATCAGCAGCAGCAATAACAACAACAACAACAACAACAACAACAACAACAACAACATTTTGGAATGTTCATTTTTAAACACCCTCTCTCTCTACAGAAAACAAAACAACACCAACCTTGAAGACATGTCTCCTGGAAAACTGGGTGGCAAACACGTACATGACAAAGATGAGAATGGTCACAAATACTCCAGCCAGTCCTGAAAGAGAAAGGGTAATACTGTGACTTTGTTGGAAAGACCATGTAGAGATATGATGATCTTATAGGTGGACTGAGACGAAAGACATACAGAGCTTAGAACGATGAAAGCAAAATGAAAAGACACATCCATTGTGGGCACTACATGTAGATAGCAGATTGGTCGTACTGTGCATTGCGTTATTGGTAGATAAAATAGGGTCTCCGCGGCCGCGTTGGACAGGTGACAATTTTACAAAGTATAGGAAAAACGCAACGGGGGAAATGGAAAGTGGCTGATTGTATAGGTGGCTGCCAGGGCAGGTTCAACATGAGGGCAAATGGCCTTAATCAAACACTGAATAAACTTACTTACTAAATACGAATAGAATACGGCGAGGAAAAGGGGAGGAGGAGGTTGTGAGCAGGGAGCAAGAAGAAGAAACAAGTACGTACGTACGTAACGGGAAAGTTGTTATTCTGCTTGCCAAGCTGCTGTACATTTGGATAAATGAACAGCGATACTTTCTGAAAACAAATATTATGATTTGACCCCACAACGTCGTTCAAGTAAATTCAACCAATTACACGCTAAATAAAGCTTACAGAAAATAATATGTTCCCAGGGGCAGATCTGATGTGGATGTGGGATTATCGTTTACTCACCAGTGATGGTTTGAAACGCCCAGTAGTGAAAAGGTGCAAATGAGTCAGACCTGGAATAATGACAATGACGGCTTATTAAAAAAACCAAAAACCCACAATAAGACGAATCAAGATAAACGTACAATTAGAATGAAATTCACGATATGAGAACTTTCAAAATTTTTCTTTGCGCAAAATCAACTTTCGGACATAATAATATGCGTTTTCGATGGGGTCCTTGCAAGTGTCCCTCTTCGCACTCACATTTGCTTAACGAAGGAGTGACATCTAGGTATGTCAATCGACATGGCCACTTTCTACTAGTTAATCTAACGTTATGCCAATGGTCCCTTATTTCTGACCCATTGTGAGGTAAACATATAAGAATGACAAAATAGTTGGTAAAGAAAGACATTCGGACAAAAAACCCCCCAAAGATCGATCAATAAATAGACAGATACACATCATAACCAACCTACATCTAGATAGATAGATAGATAGATAGATAGATAGATAGATAGATAGATAGATAGATAGATAAAAGCAAGAAAATATTACACTGATCCCATTTCAAACTTTTCCTCAACCATAAGGGAGGCATTTGCAAATTAGAATCTTGAAACCGAATATACGTAAATGCATGTATGTATGTATTTCGCGTGAGTGTCTTCTTTACTATGTGTGCAAAAGGGAACACGTGTGTATGTATGGGTTAGCTTTTGCTTGCTCAACTGCATTCATTTTACCGGGTGCCCACTACGGAAGTTTGTTTTCAGTTTCAGGCCCGATCCAGCTCTAGTGGGCACCCCGTACTAGAGTTCTTGGAGAGCGCACGTGCGAGTGTGTAGCATGACGAAACTCACGCTGTGAAGTATTCCCTGAAGAAGCAGTTGACGCTGGCAGTGGTCTGCGTACACATGCAGTACAAGTTGATGGCATGGCCCACGATGTGTACAACTGAAGACGGATGAAGATATGCATACTTATTGTAGTGTATTGGTATGTTTAAAGCCACAGTCGGTAATATACACAGGATAAAGATAAGATAAGATAAGATAAATCTTTATTGTCCAGCTTCTGGCACATTGGTTTGGTGTTTCATTACGCACACATACGTATACACATGTAACTGGTTATTTAAAATACAGTAACTTCATCAATGGCGACGAAAACAATATTTATATCTAAATATCTTAGAAAATAACTAAGAAGAAAGAGCGTAGTCGAGGTCCTTGTGGAGTTTATGATTATTGACGGCAAGTAATACAGCTGCATAATTATTATGGGTAGTATTTATTTAACTGCCATTTTCACATCTTTCCGACCACCTGCCACGACAGATCCATCTGTGCTGGGACAGCCAGCATGGGAGAGCTATAAAAGTTCCCTGGAAAGTATTTCGTGGGGCTCTTGTGGGGAGCTAACCCGTTAGATCTATCTTTGGGTTGATAGGAAAATGTTAAAACCCCAAACATGAAGCTGATTTCCACAGAAAAAAGTAGAGAAATAACAGAAAGAGAGAGACGAGGGTGGGGTGCTGGGGATACACACACACACACACACACACACACACACACACACACACACACACACACAAACACACACACACATACATACACACACATGTAGACTCACAGTCTCACACACAGACCGACAGACAGACAGGCAGATGAACAGACTGGCAGGGAGAGAGAGAAGGAAATAGATAGGTATATATAGAGATAGACAGAAGACACCAAGATAAAATGTGCATGTAAGTGTATGTATGTACGTATGTATGTAGATTGTATGTATGTGTGTGTGCATGTGTGTGTGTGTGTGTGTGTGTGTGTGTGTGCGAGTGTATTTGTGTATGTTTGAGTGTGTATGTGTGTGTGTGTGTGTGTGTGTGTGTGTGTGTGTGTGTGTGTGTGTGTGTGTAAGAGAGAGAGAAAGAAAGAGAGAGAGAAAGAAAGAAGAGAGAGAGAGAGAGAGAGAGAGGGAGAGAGAGAGAGAGAGAGAGAGAGAGAGAGAGAGAGAGAGAGAGAGAGAGAGAGAGAGATAGAGAGAGAAAGAAAGAAAGAAAGAGACAGAGTTGGGTTGAAGGGCGTTGCTTTAGTGCTGCACCCTTACAAACCGACAAGAGTCCAAGTGGTTTGTCAAGTGGACGTTGTTAACACTCAGCCTTCTTGTGTATGCGAACTCACAATGATGTGCTCAGGCAAACTCTTCATAATGAATGTGTTATAAAGTTAAGCTGAACCGACATGGTTTCACAGTGAAGTGGTGTAAAGGATGGAGAATTAGATCTTGCTCAACGATTTAACAGTGCATGACAAAAATTTGCCCACGTGAAAGTCAAAATATCCCACAACTTTAGAACGATCTAGATTGCTAGCCATATAAGTGGATGTCTTTCAGATTCAGATTAGATTGTGGTTTTGGGGCTGTAGGCCTACGCATCCGCAAACTCCTTTGTTCTGTGTGACAAACTAGCTTAATTGTACTGATTTTGAACACAGTGTTGTTTTATTGATGAAGCTTAACCTCTCGTACCTTGTCCGAGCCACGAAACCCGTCAACTTTGGAAGTTTATATAAACCAACCTGTGGCTGTCCATAATGCATTTTGCTTGATCATAACAGAGTGCATTGTGGGCCAATATTTCTAAAGAAAAAAGAAAACACGATGCATTCACATGTATTCCTAATACAGGAAAAATAAAAAGACTCGCACGCATCATCAACGTTTACGTACGTGTTCCAATCATTGCCAAGACGGCGATGTACTTGTGGAAAGCAACTGCGGAGTCGAAAGGAATGAACCTGTGCAGGAACGTTTCTCTCAGGGCTAGAAGAGAATAAAAATAAAAGAAAAAAAAATAAAAGAAAAACCCCAAGGAAATTTCAGATGAGATAAAACACATTTGGTTAACATTTTTTGTGTAGATTCCGTAATTTTTCTGTTTCCTCATGCAGGTTTTCAAAACTTGGTATTTTGTAACTAAACCTTTTGACATTTGGAACGTTTTGTAACAAAACAGAATGCTTTGTTCGTTCCTTCATTTCCTTAAAAGATCGTTTCAATGATGGTCATTTAATGCCCGACAAAAGGAAGACGGCATACAAACTAACATCTGCACCAGTGGCACCTTTCAATAATCATCAAAGCAGAATGCACAGCACAATAACACATGTCGAAGCAAGAATGTTCCGTTAGGAGAATCGTCAGAGTAAGCATCATGCCTGCAGACTACAGAACAGTGATCACAGAACGCAGAGTGTATCGTATTAGTACCTCTTCAATACCCCTTTTTACATTAGATAAGAGTATATGTAGGAGACGCCCATCTCCCATGGGGCAGAAAAAAGCTGGTGGTGGGCCCTAAAAACTTCTAAAGCAAACAGAGTATTTCTGGGGACAAATCTCTGAATTCTTGGCAAATAAAACCACATCCGTTTCGATTCCACTAGCCAGGCTAGCTTGAGTTTCTAGGTCGTACAGAATTTAATTTTCACCCACCACTAAGTGTCTAGCATTTGAAACGTAAATCCTTTTAAGAGATGAGTGTGAGATAAATTCCAAATGGCTGTTGCCTCGATTGGGTCCCCCCTCCCACTCACCACCAATATCCGGGCGAAGCAATGGATCACGCTTTGACTAAAGACCCACTGTACACTAACAAGGGGGATACACACTTCTGAACCACTACGTCCCATGAAACCTATTTGATGTTTATTTTTTGTGTGTGTGTCAGATTTCAGTTCTCCCTGCTTTTTATGTTTATTCTTGACACTGGATCTAATGCTCCGTATTCGCAAAGCTGAATTAGTCTCTTATGACGTGTAATTAATTGAAAACGGACCCAAAATATCTTTTATGTACAGGTTTGAGACATGATAAAAAAAAGTGTGAATGTTACACAGAGCACATGACGAATGACTGACAGCAGAAGACAAATCAAAACTTTTTTCTCCGAAGTTTATTCTTTCTGAATTCCGTTTGGCAAGTGTGCAGTTTCCGGTCAGGGTTTCTGCCCCAACCCGATCCTACAGACTTAACTAGTCGGACGAGTGTGCACCATTGAAATCACAAACAATCATGGGAAAAAACTAACCTGTAATAGTGTTTCGACACATGGTGACGAGGAGACTGACATAGGTGAACATGATGACACTGGCAGAACCTCTGATCATAGCGACGACCCAGGCACCAGACAGACGTCTCAGACCTGCATGCTCTCGGCCTTTGGCGTAAACTGAGGAACCAAACTCCACGTCAGTGCAATTGCAAAGTGCTTGCTTTTTGGGGGGGTTCAGAAAATAATATGTTCCATTTATCCAAGAAAAAAGCCAAAAGCCCTTATTTAATGCACATGGCATTGGTCCTGGCTAACAAGACTAATATCAATACAGAGTTTAATAAAATATAGTGAATGGCCTCTGAAAAAGAAGACACCCTGTTTCATACTGAGAAACGGAAAATACGTTAAAAGTATACCCCCCCCCCCCCATGTCTAAGCGTTTCAGGAAGATCACAGCCAACTGTTATCTTATCTTGTTAGACATTGAACCAACTCCGCTCGTACCATGGATCTGCACATACGGTCTAGCACGTTCTAAATATGGGTTCGGGGGGGGGGGGGATTTTGTTATATCGAGCCCTTTCACTTGTATACGTCTACTCTGCAATATTGGGAGAAGATCGTAGCCATGGCATTATAGTTCAGGGTCAGAAAACTCACTTTGAAAGCACTTTTTGGTCTCTGCTTACCTACCATGTATTGATTTATAAACCCAACCATTTTAGAATTTATTTAAATTAATCATCTATCTACTTGTCAGTCCGTCAATCCTTTCAAAGGCCGTCTTTTTCTATTTCTCTCTCTCTCTCTCTCTCATTCTTTTTTGTCATTTGTTAAACATCTTTATCGATAAGACTTATACTATAGCAATCGATATAACAACAAAGTATAGCAGCAGAAACAACGACGACACCAATTATTGCAACTACAGCAACAGTAATATTAGCACCTGGAGCAAGATGCAAGCCTTGGGTTTACACCGCAACTCAATCTATAAACTTTATCGCAACTCATAGGAAATAGTATAGTTTGTTATCCTGTTCACAGTGAAAACTATACAAATTCCATTATACCCCTTTCGATGCCAGCCTCTGACGATATACTCACAGTACGCCCGTTCCACAAAGATTCCGATCGTGATCAAGGTATACAAGGTGACCCAGAAAATCTGCCGACTGTAACGGTTGATGTATCTGGTCAGCTCGTACCAGCGCTTTCCGGCCTTGCTGCCTGGGTAGGTGGGTCGGTTCACGGACACCCGCAAGCTGCTCCTGAACGGAGAAGTTGTGGTTTTTTCCAGGGTGGCTGTTTTATTCTCTCCACTAGGTGGTCTGCTGGCGTTGTTCGGCCTTTTGCTGTCGAGTAGCAGAGAGGTTGTTTGGTGGGTGTTTGAGAAAACTTGTGTAAAAAACTATTATAGCAAAAAAAAAAGCAAAAAAAAAAAGCGATAAACTCCTACCTCTCCTCTTTGTAACTCATCACCCCCTTCTTTGAGACACACTCTTTCCCCTTCTCTCTCTCTCTCTCTCTCTCTCTCTCTCTCTCTCTCTCTCTCTCTCTCTCCCTCTCTTCCCCCTTCTCTCTTTCTCCCTCTCTTCCCCTTTCTCTCTTTCTCCCTCGCGCGCATCCACTCTCTCGGGAATAGATTATGTGAACACCACAATGAAACCGAGACGATATAAATCTCGATAACTTTTGGTAAAGGAAATAGCCTCTATATTATTAGTAACTTCGGGTGTTGATGGGTTTTAGAATCTCGTTGCCAGTGCTTTGTTTCTTCTCAAGGTGCTTTTTTCGATTAAATTTCCTGCTATAACATCCGAAAAGACATACTGTTCCAAGCCTTCAAGAAAAAAAAGACATCATCCTTTGAACTGCTGTATATACATATTATGTTGACGAATAGATACTTCTGTCATAAAGTAATACAGCTTCTGGACTGCTTTAGATGCAAGACAACAATACAAACACATTTGCACCTAACCATTTATCATACTCACATGTAGCTCATTATCATTGTGTTTCTCTTATTTCTGGCAATACCCGGGCGTATCTTGGGGGCATGTTTGACCGCTGAAATACAAGGTAGATTTACTTTATAATTGATTTTTCATGAGGTATCTTAAACAGTTTGAGGTAAGATGGGTGTTGAATCAATGTAATGACTGCGGATTGTTATTCTCTCGTCGCTCAGTGTCCGTCTGCCTGCCTGTCTGCCTGCCTGTCTGTCTGTCTGCTTGTCTACCTGTCCGTCAGCCTATCTATCTGTCCACCTATCTATCTCTTCGTATTTCTGTTTTGTCTGTTTGCCTCTTAGTATTCTTAGTTTGGCAAACAGAAATGCAATCGCCACAAATTGCCAAAAGAAGACATATTTCTCTTTATCTCTTTTATTTATTCTCCATATTTTTCCCGCAGTTTGTCTGTCTGTCTGTCTGTCTGTCTGTCTGTCTGTCTGTCTGTCTGTCTGTCTGTCTGTCTGTCTGTCTGTCTGTCTGTCTGTCTGTCTGTCTCTTTCTCTCTCTCTCTCTCTCTCTCTCTCTCTCTCTCTCTCTCTCTCTCTCTCTCTCTTCTCTTCTCTTCCTTTCTGTCTGTCTCTGTGTTTACGCGTCTGTCGCTTGTTTGTCTATTTTTGCTCTGAGGTTTCTGAAACGAATTAATCTGTTTGCCTTTCTCTATGCATATTTTACTTCAAATGGCCAACCTTCTCCAGACAAAGTCGATTGCTCCAGGGTGGACTTGAACTCTTCCGCACAGAAAACTTGCCGGAAGTGTTCAAACGTCATTCTATCGTTGTCCTGGAGTCCCTGGTGGCGGAGCATCGAAGTCACGAGGTCATCTACTGAAGTCTCAGACACGTCAGTGCTCTCCGAGAGTTCAACAATCGACCTACAGACCAAAAAAAAAAATTAATTAAAAAATGCCCTACTTAAATCGGAAATGAAAGCGTAATAAAAGAAGGGGTAAGATCATTGAATGGCTGACGCTCCTTTGGAGGCAGCGAGTGTAATACAAATGAAACGATAAAGCAATGCAATACAATGCCACCTTTATTGGTCCCCGAGCGGGAACATCTTCAGATGAAATTGTTGGATACGGCAACCCATTGTCGAGGACAAAAGCGGCCGTCTTAAACAGGAGACCGTCTTATACAGTGTCATTGCAATGTGAACAAATTATGTACAAGAGGGGAAATGGATAGTGGCTATTTTTACAGGGGATTGTCTTATACAGGTGGCCGTTAGAGGAGGTTTGACTGTTTTTACAATGGCAAATTCAATTCCTAGAATAAATAATATTATTCTAATGTAATGTATTGCTCAATATCACACAAATACAGACAATCTTACAAAAACGCTCTTACTGGTTGCCACTGTGCAGAGTTCGGCTTTTGATCTGGGGTTATCGTGCTTTGCTCAGGCATACACATCCCGGCGACCGTTCACCTCATGTCATTTTCATTTACATGAAATTCGAGAGTTATATAATATAGACATCTAGGATTATGATGCACTATAACAAAAAAACCCCCAAGACAATGAACAATCAATGACATAAGAGTCACTGGAAGCCAAATGAAGATACCAACAATTGGACACTCACTTTAACATTCTTCGAATCTCATCCTTGGTGAGGTAGCCTCTCTTCTTGATGTCGTAAGTATTAAAAAGCAAGCGTGCTTTTTCTTCTGCCGTGCCTGTAACAGAGAAATTACTGTTATTGTGCTGTGGTAAGAGGCACGGCAACTTTACTACTGAAAGGTTATTCAGGATGCGGCAGCTCAAAATAGTGAGTCCATCCCCAATAGAATAGAGAAATAATAAATGGCAAGTTTCAGATATTCTTCGAACAATCCAAACTCCACAAAGTCTCCATGAGCATTCCAACTCAGGTTATCCGAAATGCAGCTCACGTTGGTACCAAATAATCTAAAAGAAAGAAGACAACGAATGCACATGGCATAGAACGCACATTTTGCGAAATATATACCACATTTTGTCCCAAGCGTGGCATTCTATGTAATCATCACACTGAACAGAATTACTTTCTTATAAAGTCCCCCTGAGTCAGCATGAAATCAGAATAAACAGTATCTAAAATGCTTGGGGACAGGCATAGTGTTATATAGGGGAGGAGGTGGTGAAAAAAAGAATATCATAGTGTGATATAATGGAAGAAGAAAAGTTAGCATTGTTAACTTGTCTCGTATGATTTCTGAAAGTTAGACTATGTGTCTTTTAATTCATTGAAATTAACAGAGGTGTGAAGTGTAGATACTTATTGAAAGTTGAATTGCGTCTGTCAGGTTACCCTATAATTTTTTCTATCTCTCCATCCCCTCCTTTCTTCCCTTTCAGTTTTCCCTCTGCATATCAGTTCCCCTTGCAAGACAACACCCAATTAAAGAAGAAACTGAAGTATTATAATTGATCAGGGTAACGTCGGTGAATATGGCAAGACACAGAAACATTGTGTTAAACGTTCTAAAAATAAACGGTTATCATGCCTTGATGTAAAGCAGAAACTACAAACACATACTCAAATCCACGCAGAGTGAGGATATCCCCTCAGCATTTCAAAATGCCATAATTCACCTTTCAGAAATACTGCAAACAGGTCTAAAAACTCCTCGAAAGAGACATATCCGTCCTTGTTCTTATCCCCGAGAAGGAAAACGTTTCTGACGAACAGCGAAGACGGTTGCATGCCCAAAGCATCAGCAAACTCGGCCATGTTCAGCTTGATGTGAATCACTTGCTCTACAAGGTCATTGCTCATGAGGGTGTCGGAGGATGTTTCTCCTTCCAGCGCCTAAGAGGAAACACAGTATATTTCTAGATGGATGGATGAATGGATGGATGGGTGGGTGGGTGAATGGATGCATAGATAGATAGATAGATAGATAGATAGATAGATAGATAAGTAGATAGATAGATAGATAGATAGATAGATAGATAGATAGATAGATAGACAGATAGCTAGATAGATAGATAGATAGATAGATAGATAGATAGATAGATAGACAGATAGCTAGATAGATAGATAGATAGATAGATAGATAGATAGATAGATAGATAGATAGATAGATAGATAGATAGATAGATAGATAGACAGATAGCTAGATAGATGGTACAGAAAAAGGCAATCAACGAAACAGCCTTAACGAGCCTCGGTGGAACTTGTTTTTTGGAGTAATAGTATTATTGCAACGTATGTTTCTAAAAATAACCATAATCCTGCTTTGGCAGACAATAGCAAAGAAATAATATAATCGCAAACGCTTACAGTACCGTCTTTCGTTTAAAGGAAATATTGTTACGCTCATCAGACAACTAAAGAATTCGTTTCTGTGGGGAGGAAACCACGATCACAGTAGTCTTCTATAGATCGACAGATTGCAAGGGAGAAAAGGACATTGTCACTACATTGGGAAAAAACTAAAGTACGGTTTGCTATCGACCACCTATAATATTATATTGATATACATACATATACATATACACACACAAACACACATACACACATATATTTCTACACACAAAACACTCGCACACACACACACACACACACACACACACACACACACACACACACACACACGGGGGCTCTCATGGCCTAGAGGTTATGGTGTTGGCCTCTCATTCAAAGGTCCCGGGTTCGAATACAGGTACCGACCGAAAAATTTTGTTCTCTAAAATTGTCTCCTTTCACATCCTTCCCTACTCTCTAGCAATGTTCTGTCGTTTGCTTTCTTCTCCTCTTTCTGCTTCCATCCCCTCACTTCCTTTGCCCCCTCTTCTGGGCTCCCGACTCTTTCTGCAGCCTTTCTACTACTACTCCTTGACTCCTTCTTACTGCTGTCTTCCTACCACACCCCTGATCTTCTGGTAGGAAAGGGCAAAAAATCTGGGAAGTACTGTGTGAAAGTTGTGTACGTTAAAGATCCCCTGGTGGTCTAAAATCGATAAGAGTAGGTTTCGGCCGCCACCTGGGCAATATTCAAAATTTCCTACTAACTGAAAAGCTTAATGTATCCCGCCCGCTTATATGACCTTAGGCAGTTGTGAGCGCCGTAAAACACTTATCAAAACAAACAAACAAACACACACACACATACATACACACACACACACACACTCACACACACACTCATTCATTCATGTCTGAAAACGCATATTCAAGTATGGAGCGGACGAACCTGGCTCTAATCCCCATTCGGATGTTGAATTTTGTTTGTTTTCTAGGATCCTCCTTCCCTACTTGGCTAGGTCCTTTCAGAGATGGGCGTCACATTAAGAGGTCAAACCTAAAAAAATATCTTTAACTGAGGAAAGGCTGTTAAATCTATACCCCGACAGTTAGATAATACTTACTCTTTCGCAGATAGCCCTAAAGAAAATGTCCAGTACCCCTTGGCGTTGATCCTTATCCCGAGCTTTGGAGTGCAGGAATGACTCTGTGACGTAATTCATCTCAGGGGCCATATTCATATCTGTGACAAACTTTTCCAAAGTCAGATGGAACCGGTTTCTCGAAACGAAATCAGGGAACTTTAAAATCTGTAAAAATAGAGAGAAAGAGAACCCCTTGTTTTACTTATATAATATACTCTTTTCGGTTAACAATTGATTTGTTAAAGAGTAAATTATTTGCATGGCGTTGCATATAGTACCATTTTCAGAAATTCGCTTTTAAGGCATAGTTGAGATGGAATTTAATAATGTACCTTTAACACAGTACTGAGTTGGAACAACACACTAATTAGAACATTACAATGTAACTTGGTCTGAAAATCATTGGCAGTGTTGATAAATTTGACTACATAGAGCTTATGTGGCTGTAATCTTGTAAGGGGATGGTATTCCTACGAATACTTAATTGACAGGAAATATATTTGTAGAAGAGGAGGGAAAATCCATCGCCTCTCCTTCTTGTTTTTCCTCACCAAAAAGGGGGGGGGGGTAGTTTGAAACCGCGTTTTCTGCTAAATTTGAATCCCCCCCCCCCCCCGGACCCATCACATACGACCGTTCCAAATTACAAAAAAAAACCCGGCATTGTTATTGACAGAACCTCCTCAGCAACTCCTCACACCGTTACATGTACCTTAGGCGTAACAACAACGTACCAGATCTATATCTCCAGGCACCACCACAGCAGCGCTTGATAGATCTTTGTCGTTGGACAGCATGACGTGCACCTTCTCCGGGTCTCGTTTGAACTCCACGACACGAAGGATCTTCTTGCGGCCGTCTCTGATGACGATCTGCTCCTTGCTGCTCACAAGCTCCCCGAGAACGTCCCGGTAGCCGGACGTCTTGCCCAGCCACTCCCGGGCTGCAAAGTCAAGCAGCGACTTGATTCATTAGACGTAGGCAAAGTTATGGGCTAAACACAACAACCGCCTATCATATTCACTTTGAATACCGACATCTCTCCCATCCCCACCCCCATTTTCTTCTCGCAAATGATAACAGAAACGTTTTCTGTATAAATTTAGAATCTGGTTGTTTAACTAAGTATTTCATCTACCTACCTAAACATCAATCAATCAATCAATCAATCAATCAACCAATCAACCAATCAATCAATCAATCAATCAGTCAATCCATCTATACATCTATCTATCTATTCATCTATCTATCTATCTATCTCAATGTCAGCCCGCCTTCTGCTAGTCTGTCTGTCTGTCTGTCTACCTGTCTTATGTTCGATTATAATTTGTTTGATCTGAAGTATACATGTAACAATTCAAATAGTTTTAGATTCTCACCTTGGAAACTTGATGGATTGTTTGAGCTGTACACAGTGGATGCCTGTTTTGCCCCGCTTTTCTTGGTTGTTTTCCGTTTGCGCACAAGTAAACATAGTACTAAATAGGATACTATGAGTAGGGGGGGGGGGGG